TATAAATATTTTATTATTTTTCTCCAGTTGCTTTCCTGTTTGTTTCTTTGTCTTTAGTTCTCAGCAGTTTAAATATGATGTATCTGGGTATAGAATGCTTCTGCTATGTCTTCTTTGGGCTCACTGAGTTTCTTTTATTTTTTTCTCCCCAAAGTTCCAGTACATAGTTGTAGATCCTAGTTGTAAGTCCTTCCAGTTCTTCTATGTGGGATGCCACCACAGCATGGCTTGATGAGCGGTGCCATGTCCACGCCAGGATCCAAACCAGGTGAACCCAGGCCACCGAAGCAAAGCACACGGATTTAATCTCTCAGTCACAGGGCCAGCCCCTGCCGAGTTTCTTAAATCTCTATGTTTGTGTTTTTTACAAAACTTTGGAAGTTTTTAGCCATTATTCCTTCAAATATTTTTTTCTTAATCTTACTTTTCTCCTTCTAGAATTATTATGACATGCATATTAGACTTTTTGGCACTATTGAGTGACCTTTAACCCTTTTTTATCTTTTTGAAGTTTTTCTGTCTGTTGTTCAGAACGGAGCATATCTATCCTTCTATCATCATGTGCACTGAATCTTTATTCTGTTATATCCATTCTGGTATTGAGCCCATCTAGTGAATTTTTAAAAAATTTTGTTTACTGTATTTGACAGTTCTTAAATTTCCATGTGGTCCTCTGTATCTTCTCTTTCTTTGATGATGCTTTCTATTCTAACTTTGTTTCAAGAATGTTTCTGATTGCTTGTTCAAGCATTTTTATAGTAGCTACTTTAAAATCTTTGTCGTGGAATCTAACATCTGTGTCATCTCATTGCTGGCATCTATTGATCGTCTTTCTCCATATGAGGGGATATTTTCCTGGTCTTTCTATGTCACATAATTTTGAATTTTATCGTGAGCATTCTGAATAATATATTATGGGGTTCTGGATCTTAATCAAATGCTATAGAGAACCTTGATATTTTTGTTTTAGCAGACAAACGATCTGATTGGTTCCATTATGACTATCCTTATGTGAGTTGTCATTCCAATCTCGGTTTGATTTTCAAAACCTCTGCAGTGCTACTCAGACCTGTCGGCACATGTGGACCACCTAGAGGCCAGTCTGGGATATGAGTGGTGGTCTATCCCTTAGTCCAGCTATCAAAGTCTACCTTTCTTTGCTGTTTAGGTCTAGATCCAGACAGGGGCATCTCAAGGGGGAGCTCAGGAGTTCACAAACAACTATGAAATGTGGCTTTCCTAAGCTTCCCCTCCATGACCACCCCAGTACTTTTCAGTTCCCTAGGGCTCTCTTTTCCATCCTCAAGCCAGAAAGTGGGGCTTTAAGTTACCTCATTCTACCATGCACTTCCTGTAACTATGCTGCATCCTGGGCCAAGCGATGGGAAGACAGACAGATAAAAAATGCAATCAGGATTGCCCCTACTTTCTAGGGATCCCCTCCCTCCGAGTCATAGTTTCTACCATGACCCCATTGCAGAGGCCACCACTGCAGACACAGGATGGCTTTGGGGCTAGAGTGTGAGGACACAGAGAAAAAATAAAAACAAAGAAGGTAAAAAGAATAAGAGGATTTCCTCCGCTCTCTCTGAGAGTTGAGTTCCCCTTCATGCTCCTAAAGCCAGAACTGGTGGTCTTCTGGAGCTCTCTGTGTCTGCATTCTGAGGCCCACTTCCAGGTTTCAGGCTGCGCTCAGGCCAGGGAATACACCGAAGGAGAAACAAAATGGTGAACTCGCTGCTGGTTCGGTGGTGCTTCGAGTTCAGACACATTCCCCATTCTGTCAGCTACTCTTTACTTCTCAGAGTCCTCAGAAGGCTGCTCCAAGCATTCTGCCAAGTGACAAGACAGAGTGGAGAGTGCCCTCCATCGCAGAGGAGCTGGAACCTTGCTGGTGGATCTTTAAGTCTTATTCTCAAAGGAAAAGCTGATAATTATAGTCCTGAATCTGATAGATTCAATCTTGGGGATGCTTTTATGGAAATTTTTATTTTGATATATTTTCAAACTTCTAGAACAGTTTCAAGAAACTCCTTTATACTCTTTACCCAGACTTACTAATTTTGTACATTTTGTCCCATCTGCTGTGTCACTCTCTCTCTTTTCTTCTTTCTCTCTAGATAGGTAAAGATAGATTTTTTTTTTTCCTGAATCATTGAAAACTAAGTTGGAGACATCATATCCATTTTGAAACTACTTCATTGTGCGTTTCCTAAGAACAGAAAACGTTCTCCTACATAACCACAATACAATTATCAAACTTAAGTTATTTAATATTGATATAATGCCATTGTCTAATCCACAGTCCATATTCAAATTTCATCCATTCAAGATCATGCATTTCGTTTAGTTTTTGTGTCTCTTTAGTATCCTTACTCAGGAACAGCTTCTTAGCTCTTTTTTTCTATTTTGAACTTGACCTTTTTTTTTAAAGATTTTATTTTTTTCCTTTTTCTCCCCAAAGCCCCCCGGTACATAGTTGTATATTCTTCGTTGTGGGTCCTTCTAGTTGTGGCATGTGGGATGCTGCCTCAGCGTGGCTTGATGAGCAGTGCCATGTCTGCGCCCAGGATTCGAACCAACAAAACACTGGGCCACCTGCAGCGGAGCGCGCAAACTTAACCACTCGGCCACGGGGCCTGCCCCTCTTGAACTTGACCTTTTAAAGAATGAAAGTCCATTATTTTGTAGACTGTCCTTCAAGTTGAGTTTGCTATTTCCTCATGCTTCGATTCTGCTGATGAATTTTGGGCAGGAATATCACAAAAATGATGCCGTGTCCCTCTCAGTGAATCATATCAGGAGTCTCTTGATGTGAATTTGTCCAAATATTGGTTTTTATAATGTGGTTAAGGTGGCATCCACCAGGGTTACCCATCAAAAACTAACAAGGTTTCTGCCCCAGAACAAGTTGAGAGGAATCATTAGCTGCTTGCTCTTCTGAAACTTCTTTCTCCCGCATTGTTTAGGTTTCTGGTTGTTTTGGCCTACCGTCTAGGGAATGCATTATTTGCATTCTGCTTGGAATCAAAACAAGCCCTGGTTATTCTTTTGCTGCTTGCTTGCTATTTGCAGCTGAGAGCTGTGTTGACGCCTGGGTGGCAGTGGGCCTCTCCCAGCCACCGTCTGGGCAACCATCGTTATTCTGCATGCCTGTGGTTCCCAAATGAATGGAGACTGACCAGCTCTGTGGGTGGGAAGGAAAGGATCTGCAGGATGACAGGGCCCTAATTTTCATGGGAAAACGTCTTTCCTAAACCTTACTTCCGGTTCTTGAAATAGGCTAGTGAGAAAATGGTTTTTGAAAATGAATTTCAGCCAAAGAGCCATTCAAGAGAGTTCAGTTTCTGCAAGTGCTCACGTGCCCCACCCCTCGGTCCCTGCTGCTGTGTGCTGTGTGATCCGCACAAGTTGTGGATGAGTTGAGACATGTAATCAATATTTCATTTCTATATTTATAACTCCACTGTAATACAAGTCTGACAAAGCAAATGTCCATTAAGGAAAAAGAAAAATAAGAAAGAAATTCGCACCAGGGTGTTTCATGTGGCTTCCTGCATGTATTGGCACTAACGAGCTGAGGCCACGTCCCTAAACAACTCGTTATATTCAGGTCGGTCCTTGCTGAATGTGGTTCCATCTCATCGCACGCCTCAGCCATTAGGAGCCAACTTCCAAAGTTACTGAAGGGAGATGAGATGAGGAAACAAATATAGCACTGAGTCCACGCCAGACGAAGAACCATCGTCTCATGTCTCATTTCCCCCAGCAGTTTAAAACATTTAGAGGATAAATTATGGATTAGTCTGTTTTGATTTATTAGTCTTAATATTTCGATATACCCCTTTCAGAGGCTTGAGTGCTCTCTCTCAGCACTGTGCTAGCAAGAGCCTTGATTAGCTTGTATTCCTGGGTTTTTCTAGGTTTTTCTCTCAATAGAATGCAGACATTTCAAAAAGAAAGAAATATTTGACATACGGCAAGTGGAGTGAAGAATGACCCAGGACTACATAATAATTTCTCCAGTTCTTGCTCGAGTGGCCGAAAGTTCCTCAGGGCACAGGTACAAAGTCTGTGAAACACACAAACTCGTTTTCTTTCAGTTTAAGAAACAAGATATGTCCTGGCCAAGGCCATGGTAAGGATTTCCCTATTAAAAGTGGAGTATTTTGACACTTTTTGTTACCATTACCCTGCTTTACCTCCGGCACTCACTTCTGACTCTACCTACCATCACCATGAGCAAATTTGTAATTTTGTGTGTGTGTGTATGTGAGGAAGATTGGCCCTGAGCTAACATCTGTTGCCAATCTTCGTCGTTTTGCTTGAGAAAGATTGTCGCTGAGCTAATGTCTGTGCCCATCTTCCTCTATTTCACATGGCATGCCGCCACAGTGTGGCTTGACAAGCAGTGCTACGTCCATGTCTGGGATTGAACCTGTGAACGCCAGGCTGCCAAAGCGGAGCGTGCAAGCTTAACCACCATGCCACTGGGCCAGCCCCTACAAATTTGTAATTTTTGACACATTTATAAAAGTTTATACACGTATGCTCTTTTGTTGTTTTACACTTTGTCTGGAATTCCTGAGATGCTTTCTTTTCTACACTCTTCTTTTCCTCTTTAAGATTCACACTTCACTCTCTGTTTCACACCTTTCTTTCCTCAATATGTCTCTCATTAGAATTCCTTACTCTTCCCAGTCATCTGCTGAAGAGCTGAGATATGCAGGAGACAAGGCCCCAGTGACTTCTGGCCATCTCTGTTTTGGAAAGCCCACTCAGTTCCAGCCAGGTCTGGGAGGCCACGAGGTGGAGGTTGGCAGCAGACCCTTGGCAGGAAAAGGTCTGCCTCCTGAGGCAATCCTAAGAAGTTGACCTAACTTGGTTCTGGGGTAGTCTTTAGGATGGATGGGGGCAGTCCCCTCCAAGAAAGTTCTGACTGGCCTGGACCTCTCAGACACTAGTTAGTTAGCAAAAAGGACAAGAAAGTTGGCAGGGAAGACAGTCTGAATAAGTTTACTCTGTGTCAGAATTGCTTATTGACATTCTCTTCCAGATGTCCATGGAGCTCTCAGCTTCCTACTTTGTCCTAAAGAATCTTTTCTGTTTGTTCTTTCTTCTTGTATGTTTAGAATTATAGACTTACAGTACTTTGAAGTTAAAATGGATCATAGAGGTGATCTAGTCTGATCTGGTGTGGTCTCCCATTCTGATAGATGATGAAATTGCACCTAAAAAGGATACAGGAATGGAAAAGAATAATAGAAAAAGCATGGGTTTTGAAGTCAGGACTGGAGTTCACTTCTGGCCCCATGGACTTAATGCTTCTGACCCTTGGTGTCTCATCTGTAAAATGGGAGCAATAATATTGGTCACATGAACTTTTGGAGGATTAAATGAGATAACATATGTAGAGTGCCTAGCACAGTGACTGGTATACAGTAGGTGCTTACTAACTATTCATCTTCTTCCTCTTTTCTCAGTATCTTCTCCAGCCTTGTCTTTGAATCCCTCCTTGTTCTCTCTCCAACAATTTTTTTTTATACTTTTTTTTTAGGAAGATTAGCCCCGAGCTAACATCTGCTGCCAATCCTCCTCTTTTTGCTGAGGAAGACTGGCCCTGAGCTAACATCCATGCCCATTTTCCTCTGCTTTATATATGGGATGCCTGCCACAGCATGGCTTGCCAAGCGGTGTGTAGGTCCACACCCGCGATCTGAACTGGTGAACCCCGGGCTGCTGAAGCGGAAGGTGCGCACTTAACTGCTGCGCCACTGGGCCAGCCCTTTTCCCCAACACTTTTAAGTGATTTTCCCAAGAAACTACTGTCCTTATTCTCTTGCTTCCCACCTTGTTCTGTCTCTCTCCCTATTTTTCTTCCTGGTAAATCCACGGATCTATTTATATGGCTCCCCTTAGGCTTTCCCTTTCTTCTATCCACCAGAATTGTCTCTTTCAAAGGTAACTTCTGGAAACATTTCTTGATTCCTACTGCCCTCAGGCTCTTTCTCTCTTTGCGCTCCCGTCCAGCTTCCTATCTCCATCTCTCACCTGGAGTTCCCATACATTGCCTGCTGTCATTGGTTCTACTTGTGTGCATGTGTCCTACCTCCCCAGTTAGAGTGAAAGATTCTTGAGAGCTGGAACCACCCTATATATCCTTTAGTTGTTATTCCTTACCGGGTCGCATAATAGACTCTCATATGGTGGACATACAATAAATATTCATTGGTAAGATTAATGGGTTCCTATTGCCTTTTCCCCAAGACACCTTCTCCTATAGCTGCTTTAGAAGAGGAGACAAATGCTGACTATTTGGTTACAATTTTACATCTAGTGGAATGTGTCTGAGTAACGGCACTCTAAGTAAAGGGTGTAGTCCGTGCCTTCGGTGGTCTGTAAACTCGCACTGCCAGTGAGGGGCTGTGGGGACACCATCGCCTCTGCACATTGGCTTTTCTGTGTTTGCATCAGGAGAGTGCAGAAGCTGATGTCTGTGGTGATGAACTGTCCCTTTCCCTTTTGGAACACGAATCTTTTCCGTACTTACCTGTGGACCATCTCAGAGATGCATCCATCAGCCCTGGAGAGGCCCTGTCAAGCCATCCGGGCTGCCACGTGGAGGGGCTGCCTGCTCCCCGCTTTGTGTTTTCTAGCCCTTCATCCCTTTCACTTGAAGGCCTTCAGACTGAATTTACAAATGGGTTTTAAACTGGATCACCTCAAGATGAATTTCTGTACTCAGCCAGGTGTTAGCAATGTACATTTGGGTTATGTAAAATGGGAGTTTAGTGAGGTTAATTTCTCCCTCCTCCCTACCTTAGGCTAATTATTGAAGAAAGTGCTGCAAACCTGGAACTTCTCATAATTCATCCTGCCTTCTGTTTCCATAGAGTTGGAGTTCATAAATCTCTGTTTGTGATGACATAATCAGTTACTGGAGGAATGTGGTGGTACTGCCAGCTGAGAATTACAGCTCCAGACTCCAAGCTGACTGACAGAGACATTCAAAGAGATGCACCTCAGTCCTTTTCTTTCTTTGCTTGCAAGAGTTGTACATCCAAACACTCTCATGAGCCAGGGTAGCCACAACATATCAAACTAAGAGAACTTGATGCTTATTTGAAAACAGAAACTCCTTAAACCTTCTAAAGGAAACAGAAAATGAATATACCCCAGGAGGAACCAGTTGCTTCAGAATTTATTGTCTGTTAAAAAGTGCAACACTAAAAAATATGGAATCAACCACTTTCTCTTTAGAGATCACTTAGCTTTGAAATACAGTCAAATATAACGTAATCTTCCATTTTAAATTTCTGCTTCCTTTCTCTCTTTATAGTGTCTGTGAATTTGCATCTCTACAACATATGTATATATTATGCATTCGAAAAAATTATATAAAGAAAGTGAGAACCGTGGCACATTAGAACTCTAGAACATTTAAAAGACTTAGTCCAACCCCTAATTTTAGAGAAGATGACACTGAGGTCCAAAAACATGTCTGCGATCTGTTTACTGAAAGTAGGCTTAGAAGGGGCGAGACTCAGGCTCCAACCCCAGCTCAGCATTCCTTGTGCTGTCCTGCCAGGTGTGCACATTAGCTAGATGTCAGATGGACAGAGACGCAAAGTTCCATTCATCTTGGCTCACTCTGATTAATAGTGATGAGAATTCTATTATTAGAAAAAAGCTAGTGTAAGTATTCTCATTTCACACTCAGGAAATGGAAATAAAAATGAAAAGCATTTAAATTCACTCAATACAACATTGGCATGGTTCTAACGTCACTGTTCTCGTCTTTAAAATGAGGGGGTAGACGAGATGATCTTTGAGTCTTCTCCAACTGAAATATTCAAGCATTCTAAATCTTGCTAAATATTCTCTGTGAAATTTACCCCTTTCCTCTCCTGAAATATTGTTCCTTAACAGTCCTAAACCTTCAATTTCTCCAAATACAAAATAGAGCTAATTACATTTACCAAGGCGGTGGTGACGTAAATAAGATGATACACAAAAAACACATTTAAGTCCTTGAATGAAAAGCAACGTGAGAATGAACAGTAAATTGCTTACAGCAGCTCAAAAATAGCAGTGACTGTAGAATATGATCATGTCTAGATTAAGCATATATGGTTTATTATTTGTTTGGTGGATCATTTCCAGCAAGTGTTCAATTTCCAGTTGACTCTCTTGCCACTCAGAATGAGTCAGGATTAGTTAGGATGAACTCAAAGAAACATTAGCCACTTTTAGTATTTAACAAAACCACCTATTATTAGAAAGGTAATTTGCTATTGTAAATTCCAATGTCCTCCAGAACTATGGTTTAACAGAATTTTGCTTGCTGTTTTGGATTGTTTGCATAACAATTTCCTCCATTAGCAGAGGTAGGTTAGGGCCAGCTATAATACATTTTATAAAATTTAGAAAATACTTTTTGTATATTAAAGCTATTTTCTCCTTCATCATCTTTCTTGCATGTATACCTGTAAAGATACTTAAAATTGGTTCACGCTCTTAAATGAACTTGCCATGGATTGACCTTGATGTCTATTATGCAGATAGGTTAGCTGCCATTGTGGATGTGGCTTGAGTGGACTATCTAAACCTGACTCACCTTTTCCCTATAGTCAGCTGATTGTTTCAAATCTATAAATCCATCTGCAGAGCATATATAGCTGACGGCAAAGAGTAAAGGCTTGCTTCAGGAAGGAACTCACCGCCAGTCCACTAGGGTGATTTTGACTAGTGTAGTGAACTCCTTTTAAGAAATGGAGGAGCAAGTGTGTGCATGAATTTTGTCTGGGTGGGTGAATCCAGCTCGTAGATAATAGTATCTACATGCTATTTCTCTTGCCTCTCAATCCTCGTTCACCTTAAGGGAGTTAACATAATATTGTGTAAAGAATGGAAGTTTAAAAGAAGATTTAATGAATGAATTACAATATTACTGAAGTCTTATGTTTAATTCTGCACTTGATTCTTTAAAGAGAAATATAAACAAATTGACACTTTTTTGAAATGGGGCAACCAGACTTGAAAGAAACCATGTTGTTTGAAGAACAGCTAAGGAAATGGAGTTGCTGTTCCTGGAGATGATGGACTCAGTGGGGATATGTTAGATGTCTTCAAATATCTAAAGCATTGTCCTGTGGAAGAATGACTTTAATTATTCTACCTGGCTCCTAGGGATATGGAAGAACAGATTTTAGCTTATTATAAGAAAATATTTTCTAAGAATCGGAAATATAGGAAGATTTGGTGGAGCATCAGCCCCCACTTATGAAGGAGTGTGGGCCCAGCACGGGTGACCACAGGTTGGGGAGGCTGATGGTGGCAGATGGTTGGATTGCATGACCTAGGGTGCTCCCAGCTCAGGGAGGCTATGATTTTAACAGAGTGGCTTTGGCAAAATTACTGTTTTGATCTCTGTTTTCTCATTTATAAAATGAAAGATTTAGACTAGCTCAGCAATTGTCAACCATTTTTTTCAGAATGGTAAACCTTTTTTCTTCCCCTAAGTGAAATCTTATATAGAATTCTAGTGTAAAAACAGTGGAGGAAAACTTCCATCTCTGGAAAAGGAGGTTGAAAATCTGGAGCAAATCTGGAGCTCTGCACCCTCCACTGTCGCACCTCCAGTCTACCTCCGCCTCCGCTTGGGCAGCTTCTGAGAACCTCTGAGGAGCCTGATGACTACAGTTTGAAAACCACCAGATTCAGCACATTCTAGTCTTCCCAACAGAGCCATTTTCATCATCAACCATTTTGTGGTTGACATCTAACTCTACAGCTGCTCTTTAACCAGATTAATGAGAATTTCCTTTTCACCATGCTTCAGGTTTGAGCTGATGGGAGGGAAACTACATAGCAGAGTGGTAAGTATGTGAACTTCAGAACCACAAAAGCTTGGGTTCAAATCTCAGCTCTGTGGCTTATTAGTTTTGTAACACTGGGCAATTTGCTCCGTCTCTCTAAGCCTCCGGTGATAAATGAAGAAGAAATATCCACTTCATGGAATTTGGGGGCTGATTAAAGAGATCATTTACTGAAAATCTCATGTTTGAAATGTGAAATAAATACTCAACCAGGTTGCTGCTTTATTAATAAAAAGGCCAAATTAAACTGAACAAAGCAATTTCTTCTACATAGTGAGAATTTCTTATCACTCGTAATAAAACTTAGAAGCCAAGAACCTTATAATTACCTTCCAAAGCTTGGGATAAGACAGATCCATCTAGAGGAGGGAATCTGATGATGTTGACATCAACCTCCAGCATCTCCACTGGCCCTGCTGTATAATTTTAACCAAAAAGTCCTCAGTCACTTTAGGATTTTCCCTGCTAATAAAATGAAACTACAATGTAAAGAGACGCCTTTAAGAAGGATGCAGATTTGGTTTATCCAAGAGAGCCTAACTTTTGAAACAAGTTTTCCAAAAGCCAAAAGCTTTCTTGGTAAAATCCCAGAGCAGCCTCTTAACCAATCTGCCAAACATTCTTGTTAGTGCTTTTTTTCTGTCTATTCTTTTTGCCTAAAGTGGAAGTCTATTTGTTCAGCAAACATTTCTGCACGCTTACTCCGAATAGAATTTTGGAAGAAAATAAAGAAACAGAATAAATCATACCTTTATAGGGCTTACAGTTTAATTCGGAGACTTGCAATCACACAGTAGAGGTTCTTCTGAGATGCTTTGCAATGGCATTTATGTCCCTGCCACTCATCTTTCCTGCCTACTCGTTCCTCTTTATTTCTCTCCTTTGCTAGTTCCTGGAGCTGTCTTGCTGCTGCCTGTCTGTTTAAAGTGCCTTCTACATCAGCTCACATGGCCACCTCTTCTGGAGATCTGTGCTCCAAAACTAACTCTCTTGTTTCCCTCCAGATCCCTAATACGGACTGCCACGCTACAAGATCTGACCCTTAATGTTTGGAAGAAACAGTCTAACACGTGAATCAGGTTAATTCTCCCCTTTTTTACCTCTCGTTTTGGGAGAATTTATGTTTTAAATAACCTTCATAAATTTTAATTAGTCTGAAGCAATCTTTAGTTGACGGATGTATGAGAAATATCCTTTTCTGCGGCAATCTATTCTGAAAATTTGCTGACCTTTGTTCTAAATTATGGAACCACATATCAATAGAAACTGGCTTAACAGTTATGTAGAGGAACATATCTGTAAATGAAAAATAATATATAGTAAAACTGCTTCATAATATTTGAAGGCAAGCAAATACATAAAATCTTCAAGGGTTTGTTGCGAAAAATCCCCTTGTGTAAGTATGTCTTCATTTGGGTTTTGAAGGAAGTAACAGGCATATGCAAACTTGGTCCCACTTTTTTCTCTCTTCATGGAAGTTCTGAAGGATGAGAGCACAGATATAGATTAGGTTAGTCTGTCTAAGGATAATACCAAAGGTAAATGTGCTTTGGAGTTTAAAATACTTGCCGGAAGCTATTTACTGACTGGTTACTAGGAGACAGCATGACTCATTGCTTACTTCCCCTCCATGGCCAACTTTCAGTCATTTATCACCTAGCACAGTGGATCAAGACTGATAGAATCTTTAGAAAAAATTATGAAGTGCTCTATTCTAGTAAGGAGGCACTAAACTGTGGAAATAAAATGATCTCTAAAGATGAGGTCTACTGAGAAAGCATCCCTCCACGTGTCCTGTATGCACTAGTAGTCCAGGGACTTACTAGTGGTGGAGAGCTATACACAAGATAAAATATACACAACATATTTTAAAAAACCCGCATATGGCAATACTGAAACCAATGCAGATAGTAGATACTATATCTTCCATAGAGGTTTTTTCCTCCACTTTCTGAATAAATATATTTAAATTGTAACCCAGTGTTCCTAATTTCCATAAAATG